TAGATATACTTTGATACACTTTGATATACTTAGATACACTTAGATATACTTTGATACATTTTGATACATTTAGATATACTTTGATACACTTAGATATACTTTGATATACTTTGATACACTTTGATACACTAAGATAAACTTTGATACACTTAGATATACTTTGATTCACTTAGATATACTTTGATACACTTAGATATACTTTGATATACTTTGACACCCTTAGATATACTTTGATACACTTAGATATACTTTGACACCCTTAGATATACTTTAATACACTTAGATATACTTTGATACACTTTGATACACTTAGATATACTTTGATATACTTTGATACACTTAGATATACTTTGATACACTTAGATATACTTTGATACTCTTAAATATAGTTTGATACATTTTTAAACACTTATATATACTTTGATACACTTAGATATATTTAGATATACTTTGATACTCTTAAATATACTTTGATACATTTTGATACACTTATATATACTTTGGTACACTTTGATATACTTTGATACACTTTGATACACTTAGATAAACTTTGATACACTTAGATATAATATGATACACTTAGATACACTTAGATACACTTTGATACACTTAGATATACTTTGATATAATTTGATACACTTTGATACACTTAGATAAACTTTGATACACTTAGATATACTTTAATACACTTAGATATACTTTGATACACTTAGATATACTTTGATACACTTAGATATACTTTGATACTCTTAAATATACTTTGATACATTTTTAAACACTTATATATACTTTGATACACTTAGATATATTTAGATATACTTTGATACTCTTAAATATACTTTGATACATTTTAATACACTTATATATACTTTGGTACACTTAGATATACTTTGATACACTTAGATATACTTTGATATACTTTGATTCACTTTGATAAACTTAGATAAACTTTGATGCACTTAGATATACTTTGATACACTTAGATATACTTTGATACACTTAGATATACTTTGATACACTTAGATATACTTTGATACACTTAGATAAACTTTGATACACTTAGTTATACTTTGATACACTTAGATACACTTAGATATACTTTGATACACTTAGATATACTTTGATAAATTTTGATACACTTAGATATACTTTGATACACTTTGATACACTTTAATACACTTAGATAAACATTGATACACTTAGATATACTTTGATACACTTAGATATACTTTGAAACATTTTGATACATTTAGATATACTTTGATACACTTAGATATACTTTGATATACTTTGATACACTTAGATAAACTTTGATACACTTAGATATACTTTGATACACTTAGATATACTTTGATATACTTTGACACCCTTAGATATACTTTGATACACTTAGATAAACTTTGACATACTTTGATACACTTTGATACACTTAGATAAACTTTGATACACTTAGATATACTTTGATACACTTAGATATACTTTGATACACTTAGATATACTTTGATACACTTAGATATACTTTGATACACTTAGATAAACTTTGATACACTTAGTTATACTTTGATACACTTAGATACACTTAGATATACTTTGATACACTTAGATATACTTTGATACATTTTGATACAATTAGATATACTTTGATACACTTAGATATACTTTGATATACTTTGATACACTTAGATAAACTTTGATACACTTAGATATACTTTGATACACTTAGATATACTTTGATACATTTTGATACATTTAGGTATACTTTGATACACTTAGATATACTTTGATATACTTTGATATACTTTGATACACTTTGATACACTTAGATAAACTTTGATACACTTAGATATACTTTGATACACTTAGATATACTTTGATACATTTTGATACATTTAGATATACTTTGATACACTTAGATATACTATGATACACTTAGATATACTTTGATATACTTTGATGCACTTAGATATACTTTAATACACTTAGATATACTTTGATACATTTTGATACATTTAGATATACTTTGATACACTTAGATAAACTTTGATACACTTAGATATACTTTGATACACTTAGATATACTTTGATACACTTAGATAAACTTTGATACACTTAGTTATACTTTGATACACTTAGATACACTTAGATATACTTTGATACACTTAGATATACTTTGATACATTTTGATACATTTAGATATACTTTGATACACTTAGATATACTATGATACACTTAGATATATTTTGATACACTTTGATACACTTACATATACTTTGATATACTTTGATACACATTGATATACTTTGATATACAATGATACACTTAGATATACTTTGATATACTTTGATACACTTAGATTTACTTTGATACACTTAGATATACTTTGATACACTTTGATATACTTTGATACACTTTGATACACTTAGATATACTTTGATACACTTAGATATACTTTGATACACTTTGATATACTTAGATACACTTAGATATACTTTGATACATTTTGATACATTTAGATATACTTTGATACACTTAGATATACTTTGATATACTTTGATACACTTTGATACACTAAGATAAACTTTGATACACTTAGATATACTTTGATTCACTTAGATATACTTTGATACACTTAGATACACTTAAATACACTTTGATACACTTAAATATACTTTGATATAATTTGATACACTTTGATACACTTAGATAAACTTTGATACACTTAGATATACTTTATTACACTTAGATATACTTTGATACACTTAGATAAATTTAGATATACTTTGATACTCTTAAATATACTTTGATACATTTTGATACACTTATATATACTTTGGTACACTTAGATATACTTTGATACACTTAGATATACTTTGATATACTTTGATTCACTTTGATAAACTTAGATAAACTTTGATGCACTTAGATATACTTTGATACACTTAGATATACTTTGATACACTTAGAAATACTTTGATACACTTAGATATACTTTGATACACTTAGATAAACTTTGATACACTTAGTTATACTTTGATACACTTAGATACACTTAGATATACTTTGATACACTTAGATATACTTTGATAAATTTTGATACACTTAGATATACTTTGATACACTTTGATACACTTTAATACACTTAGATAAACATTGATACACTTAGATATACTTTGATACACTTAGATATACTTTGAAACATTTTGATACATTTAGGTATACTTTGATACACTTAGATATACTTTGATATACTTTGATACACTTAGATAAACTTTGATACACTTAGATATACTTTGACATACTTTGATACACTTTGATACACTTAGATAAACTTTGATACACTTAGATATACTTTGATACACTTAGATATACTTTGATACACTTAGATATACTTTGATACACTTAGATAAACTTTGATACACTTAGTTATACTTTGATACACTTAGATACACTTAGATATACTTTGATACACTTAAATATACTTTGATACATTTTGATACAATTAGATATACTTTGATACACTTAGATATACTTTGATATACTTTGATACACTTTGATACACTTAGATAAACTTTGATACACTTAGATATACTTTGATACACTTAGATATACTTTGATACATTTTGATACATTTAGGTATACTTTGATACACTTAGATATACTTTGATATACTTTGATATACTTTGATACACTTTGATACACTTAGATAAACTTTGATACACTTAGATATACTTTGATACACTTAGATATACTTTGATACATTTTGATACATTTAGATATACTTTGATACACTTAGATATACTATGATACACTTAGATATACTTTGATATACTTTGATGCACTTAGATATACTTTAATACACTTAGATATATTTTGATACACTTTGATACACTTAGATATACTTTGATATACTTTGATACACATTGATATACTTTGATATACAATGATACACTTAGATATACTTTGATATACTTTGATACACTTAGATTTACTTTGATACACTTAGATATACTTTGATACACTTTGATATACTTTGATACACTTTGATACACTTAGATATACTTTGATACACTTAGATATACTTTGATACACTTTGATATACTTAGATACACTTAGATATACTTTGATACATTTTGATACATTTAGATATACTTTGATACACTTAGATATACTTTGATATACTTTGATACACTTTGATACACTAAGATAAACTTTGATACACTTAGATATACTTTGATTCACTTAGATATACTTTGATACACTTAGATATACTTTGATATACTTTGACACCCTTAGATATACTTTGATACACTTAGATATACTTTGACACCCTTAGATATACTTTAATACACTTAGATATACTTTGATACACTTTGATACACTTAGATATACTTTGATATACTTTGATACACTTAGATATACTTTGATACACTTAGATATACTTTGATACTCTTAAATATAGTTTGATACATTTTTAAACACTTATATATACTTTGATACACTTAGATATATTTAGATATACTTTGATACTCTTAAATATACTTTGATACATTTTGATACACTTATATATACTTTGGTACACTTTGATATACTTTGATACACTTTGATACACTTAGATAAACTTTGATACACTTAGATATAATATGATACACTTAGATACACTTAGATACACTTTGATACACTTAGATATACTTTGATATAATTTGATACACTTTGATACACTTAGATAAACTTTGATACACTTAGATATACTTTAATACACTTAGATATACTTTGATACACTTAGATATACTTTGATACACTTAGATATACTTTGATACTCTTAACCTCTTCATGCCCAGAGTTGCAATTTTGCAACAAACCTATTATTAATTTATATCTCTATGGAAACGTTGCTCCTTTCCTTTTTTGACCATAGTTGCGTATTTGTAACATACTACTGGTAATTTTTGTGTTGGACTGTTGGCAATAGTGCAGCCTGATGATTGTTTATAACTTCACAGCTGGAATCGTGTTGTAGGTTATGTTCCTGTTGTTCAATTGGCATTTTACACTGTTTATAACACAAATTCAAGGTAAGTTGTAACCTTATAAAAAATATGTTTTAGTTTTAGTACTATTCAATTATATATTAGATGTGTAAGTTAGCTTCTTCATTTCATATTTTATGTTTTATGATGAATTAAAAGTTTGTTGCGATTTTGCAACAGTGGGCATCAATGGAACAAAATGCCCAAAGTCATTACTGGCCTAATATTAGTCAACACTCATAAAACTTGTTCTTCAAATGAATGTTTTCTTCCAGATGCGAAGATCTACTAGAGAAAGAAAGGTCCCAGAGAGATTTCTATTGCCCCCTGACTCCAGCGAGGGGAGTGATGAAGATGATGATTCCGACAAAGGCCCTGATTTTGATCCGCAAGAAGTGCGGGCCATAAAATGGATGGACAACCGTGGTGTAGTGGTTGTAACAACCTTCGAGAGTGCCTTTCCCCTTACAAACATGACCAGATTTGAAAAAAAGGAAAAGAAGGTGATATCAGTACCATGCCCAAGAGCAATAACTACTTACAATAAATTTATGGGTGGTGTCGACCTCCTAGACGGACTTGTGGCGTACTTCCGCATAGACTTGAGGTCTAGAAAATACTACATGAGAATTTTTAACCACTTTCTAAGTTAGACATGGCTGTGGTAAATAGATGGCATATTTATCGCCGAGACTGCCATGCAAACGGAATCCAGAAGAAAGACATCCTGGATTTGCTTGGATTTCGATCCGAAGTCTTTTCTGTGCTATGCAGAGAAGCGAAGCAACCCACAAAGAAAAGAGGAAGGCCTTCCGCTGGAGACATAGAAACTGAAATGTTCGAAGAAAAGAAAAAAAAGAGGACCAGCCAAGCCGCCCCTAGAGTGGGAAATAAGAAGAGATGGGGTTGCACATTGGCCTATAGTAACGGACCAGAGACAGAGATGCCGTAAGGGGGGTTGTAAGGGCATTACAGTGGTCAAGTGCGGAAAATGTGGCGTTCACTTGTGTTTGACAAAAGCCCGGAACTGTTTTAGCTCTTCATTCCATGGGTTGTAGTTTCTTAAAGCATTTTTTTTAGAGTTTTATAAAGATATGTTTTAAAAGTTTGCTTTTATTAAATGGATAACCAATGCCCATTGTTTCATTTTTGCAACAGACCTATATCACCTCAATTACCCATTGTTGCGTTTTTGAAACATACCCACAAATCATACCCAATCACTGCAGAAACTAAATCAAACACTTTTATATGATATTTAAGTGCCCTAGAATCCAATTTTGATAAAAGAAAAAAATTTTAAAAATTTTAATATTATTTGGGCATGAAGAGGTTAAATATACTTTGATACATTTTTAAACACTTATATATACTTTGATACACTTAGATATATTTAGATATACTTTGATACTCTTAAATATACTTTGATACATTTTAATACACTTATATATACTTTGGTACACTTAGATATACTTTGATACACTTAGATATACTTTGATATACTTTGATTCACTTTGATAAACTTAGATAAACTTTGATGCACTTAGATATACTTTGATACACTTAGATATACTTTGATACACTTAGATATACTTTGATACACTTAGATATACTTTGATACACTTAGATAAACTTTGATACACTTAGTTATACTTTGATACACTTAGATACACTTAGATATACTTTGATACACTTAGATATACTTTGATAAATTTTGATACACTTAGATATACTTTGATACACTTTGATACACTTTAATAAACTTAGATATACTTTGAAACATTTTGATACATTTAGATATACTTTGATACACTTAGATATACTTTGATATACTTTGATACACTTAGATAAACTTTGATACACTTAGATATACTTTGATACACTTAGATATACTTTGATATACTTTGACACCCTTAGATATACTTTGATACACTTAGATAAACTTTGACATACTTTGATACACTTTGATACACTTAGATAAACTTTGATACACTTAGATATACTTTGATACACTTAGATATACTTTGATACACTTAGATATACTTTGATACACTTAGATATACTTTGATACACTTAGATAAACTTTGATACACTTAGTTATACTTTGATACACTTAGATACACTTAGATATACTTTGATACACTTAGATATACTTTGATACATTTTGATACAATTAGATATACTTTGATACACTTAGATATACTTTGATATACTTTGATACACTTAGATAAACTTTGATACACTTAGATATACTTTGATACACTTAGATATACTTTGATACATTTTGATACATTTAGGTATACTTTGATACACTTAGATATACTTTGATATACTTTGATATACTTTGATACACTTTGATACACTTAGATAAACTTTGATACACTTAGATATACTTTGATACACTTAGATATACTTTGATACATTTTGATACATTTAGATATACTTTGATACACTTAGATATACTATGATACACTTAGATATACTTTGATATACTTTGATGCACTTAGATATACTTTAATACACTTAGATATACTTTGATACATTTTGATACATTTAGATATACTTTGATACACTTAGATAAACTTTGATACACTTAGATATACTTTGATACACTTAGATATACTTTGATACACTTAGATAAACTTTGATACACTTAGTTATACTTTGATACACTTAGATACACTTAGATATACTTTGATACACTTAGATATACTTTGATACATTTTGATACATTTAGATATACTTTGATACACTTAGATATACTATGATACACTTAGATATATTTTGATACACTTTGATACACTTACATATACTTTGATATACTTTGATACACATTGATATACTTTGATATACAATGATACACTTAGATATACTTTGATATACTTTGATACACTTAGATTTACTTTGATACACTTAGATATACTTTGATACACTTTGATATACTTTGATACACTTTGATACACTTAGATATACTTTGATACACTTAGATATACTTTGATACACTTTGATATACTTAGATACACTTAGATATACTTTGATACATTTTGATACATTTAGATATACTTTGATACACTTAGATATACTTTGATATACTTTGATACACTTTGATACACTAAGATAAACTTTGATACACTTAGATATACTTTGATTCACTTAGATATACTTTGATACACTTAGATATACTTTGATATACTTTGACACCCTTAGATATACTTTGATACACTTAGATATACTTTGACACCCTTAGATATACTTTAATACACTTAGATATACTTTGATACACTTTGATACACTTAGATATACTTTGATATACTTTGATACACTTAGATATACTTTGATACACTTAGATATACTTTGATACTCTTAAATATACTTTGATACATTTTTAAACACTTATATATACTTTGATACACTTAGATATATTTAGATATACTTTGATACTCTTAAATATACTTTGATACATTTTGATACACTTATATATACTTTGGTACACTTTGATATACTTTGATACACTTTGATACACTTAGATAAACTTTGATACACTTAGATATAATATGATACACTTAGATACACTTAGATACACTTTGATACACTTAGATATACTTTGATATAATTTGATACACTTTGATACACTTAGATAAACTTTGATACACTTAGATATACTTTAATACACTTAGATATACTTTGATACACTTAGATATACTTTGATACACTTAGATATACTTTGATACTCTTAAATATACTTTGATACATTTTTAAACACTTATATATACTTTGATACACTTAGATATATTTAGATATACTTTGATACTCTTAAATATACTTTGATACATTTTAATACACTTATATATACTTTGGTACACTTAGATATACTTTGATACACTTAGATATACTTTGATATACTTTGATACACTTTGATACACTTAGATAAATTTTGATACACTTAGATATACTTTGATACACTTTGATACACTTTAATACACTTAGATAAACATTGATACACTTAGATATACTTTGATACACTTAGATATACTTTGATACATTTTGATATACTTTGATATACTTTGATACACTTTGATACACTTAGATAAACTTTGATACACTTAGATTTACTTTGATACACTTAGATATACTTTGATACACTTAGATATACTTTGATATACTTTGACACCCTTAGATATACTTTGATACACTTTGATACACTTAGATAAACTTTGATATACTTTGATACACTTTGATACACTTAGATAAACTTTGATACACTTAGATATACTTTGATACACTTAGATATACTTTGATACACTTAGATATACTTTGATACACTTAGATATACTTTGATACACTTAGATAAACTTTGATACACTTAGTTATACTTTGATACACTTAGATATACTTTGATACACTTAGATATACTTTGATACATTTTGATACAATTAGATATACTTTGATACACTTAGATATACTTTGATATACTTTGATACACTTTGATACACTTAGATAAACTTTGATACACTTAGATATACTTTGATACACCTAGATATACTTTGATACATTTTGATACATTTAGGTATACTTTGATACACTTAGATATACTTTGATATACTTTGATATACTTTGATACACTTTGATACACTTAGATAAACTTTGATACACTTAGATATACTTTGATACACTTTGATATACTTTGATACATTTTGATACATTTAGATATACTTTGATACACTTTGATATACTTAGATACACTTTGATACACTTAGATATACTTTGATACACTTAGATACACTTAGATATACTTTGATACACTTAGATATACTTTGATACACTTTGATATACTTTAATACACTTTGATACACTTAGATATAAGTTGATACACTTAGATATACTTTGATATACTTTGATACACTTTGATACACTAAGATAAACTTTGATACACTTAGATATACTTTGACACCTTTAGATATACTTTGATACACTTAGATATACTTTGATACACTTTGATACACTTAGATATACTTTGATATACTTTGATACACTTAGATATACTTTGATACACTTAGACATACTTTGATACACTTAGATATACTTTGATATACTTTGACACCCTTAGATATACTTTGATACACTTAGATATACTTTGACACCTTTAGATATACTTTGATACACTTAGATATACTTTGATACACTTTGATACACTTAGATATACTTTGATATACTTTGATACACTTAGATATACTTTGATACACTTATATATACTTTGATACATTTTAATACATTTTAGATATACTTTGATACACTTAGATATACTTTGATATACTTTGACACCCTTAGATATACTTTGATACACTTAGATATACTTTGATATACTTTGATACACTTAGATATACTTTTATACACTTAGATATACTTTTAAACACTTTGATACACTTAGATATACTTTGATACACTTAGATATACTTTGATACACTTTGATGCACTTAGATAAACTTTGATATACTTTGATACACTTTGATACACTTAGATAAACTTAGATATACTTTGACACCCTTAGATATACTTTGATACACTTAGATATACTTTGATACACTTTGATACACTTAGATATACTTTGATATACTTTGATACACTTAGATATACTTTTATACACTTAGATATACTTTTAAACACTTTGATACACTTAGATATACTTTGATACACTTAGATATAATTAATATAATATAATTTAGAT